TGGGCACAACTCACCACTCTGCCCTGCTCCCCCGGGGGCCCCACGAGGCCACGCTCGCCCCGGTCGCCCTGTGGACACCCAGGAGAAGGGCACAGTCAGGGGCAGCTCCTGGCACAGCCAGAGCCCCCCCCCAGTGCCCCCCACTCACCTTCAGCCCAGGGACACCCTCTGGGCCCTGCTCGCCCCGAGGGCCGGGCTCCCCCTGAAACAGAGACACAAACACCCAGGGCACTCCTCGGGCATCCCTGGGCATCACATCCTTCCCCAGGGCATCCCTGGGCATCACATCCTTCCCCAGGGCCGTGTCCGTGTCCCCTGCAGCCACTGGTGGCCGAGGAGGTGATGGACACAGGGCTGGAGCAGTGACCCCGTGAGGGGCAGAGGGGGGCTAAAACTGCCCAGTAACGCTTTTGGTTTGACAGGAAACAGGGAAAAGAGAGAGAGGGAGAGAAAAAGAGAGAGAAAAAGAGAGAGGGAGCAGCCCTCAGGCTGTGCCCGGGGGGGCCACGGTGACATTCTGTACTTACAAGCTGCCCTGGGGCACCGGTGACACCGGGCTGGCCACGGGCACCCACTTCACCCTGTGGGGAGACAGAGGTGGCTCAGGGACAGCAGGGGTGGGGAGGGGACAGCGTGGGGCCAAGGCTGAGGGCACAGCAGCTGGGGGGTCACAGTGGGTGCTCGGGGGGGGGGGGTCACCCACCTTGTCTCCCGGGCCACCTTTGCTTCCCGGCTGACCTGGCAAGCCCTGGGGAAACCAAGCTGGGCTCAAACCCTGGGCACAGCACTGCCAGCAGCGTCCCTGCTGGGCACTGGCCCTGGCACCACTTGGGATAGGGGTGTCACCCCACGGGTGAGGGGGTGCCAGCCCAGTTTGGGGGGTCCCCCAACACTCACAGCTTGTCCCCGGTGTCCCGGCGTTCCCGGGCGTCCGGCCTGTCCCACACTGCCCTGGGAGGGCACAGAGGGTGTCACGGGTGGGGCAAAGGGGGGGCACTGCCACTCTCCACCAGCCAGCAGTGGAGCCAGGGGCTGGGAGCTTATCCCACCTGCCATCCCTGTCATTCCCAGCACGAGGAACAGGGTGTGTCCGTGCCCTGTGCCGGCACAGGCAGCCCCTGCCCCTGCTCACCTTCACCCCCGGGATACCCGGGGTGCCATCCTTGCCATCGATGCCCGGCAGACCCTGCGACAGGGGGGAGAGTCACTTGGTCACCTCTGTCCCACCTGAAAGGCTCGTGGGGGGACAAAAAGAGGTGGGAAGGGAAGGTTTGGGAAGGGAAGGTTTGGGAAGGTTTGGGAAGGGAAGGT